AAAAACAAAACAAAGGATCAGCAATGTTTTAAGCAAAAAATCAAAAGATCACTTTGGTCTTCTATTAGTTCAATCCATGCAGTTAACTCCTGTCCTGCTTGATATTTATTAACATTTCAGCTTTTCATGAGAGTCCTGAAAGTTTTTTTATTTATTCTAATGTCATAATCCCCAACGTTATCAGAAACCTGCATTGAAGAACACCTGTCAGAGTCCTTTAGCTGACTATAAACCACCTTTTAAATAGGACTAAAATAAGACAACTGTTGGTGGATGACAAAAATTTCTCAGGGCAACCACAGTTGAAAAACATGATTGACAAATTTGATTACCTTGGTGGCAATGTTGACAATGTTTCCTGTATGATTTTTATACCAAATAAGCCAAATGTCATTTTTACATTAGTGTACTATTAATGTTAAACCCTATCCTTAATAAAACTTTATAGATATATCCACCCAATTTTAATATTTGACTTAAGGTAAGATTCTTATACCTTTTATAACCCTTTACAAATTTATGTTAAAAAGCAGATTAGCGCTCTAAGATAAACCTTTTGTGCTTATATCCCAATGTTCAATTCATGGAAAAACTGAATAATACCCCTTTAACTTTAGCCAGTATGTTCACACACAGAATTTCTTTTACGAGATTAATTTGTCACAAGCCTTTCACAGCTCACTCAAACCTTCAAGTGTTTGAGTGTCTAATTTCAAACAATCCTTTAAACTCTTAGGCAAAAAAATCCATATTCCTTTGACTTCTTATAATATTTTACCAAAAATGCATTTCAATTTCTTTACACACCTTGCATGTAAAACTGTTTCTTCAGTTGTCTCAATAACATATTACAATGTTAGCTTTTAGCAATTTTTACTTTTGGTGGAAAACCTGGTTAGTAAGCGATTTTAATTATGTACTAGGTATGGAGCCTAGGACAACAGATAAGATGTGACTTTTTCAAGCATAGCTAGGGGGCATGGCTAACACCACATGTCCCCAGGTCTTATCTAGAATCTAATGCTCTCTAAAGTAGGTAAATTGAACAATTTTCAAAAGTCAAAGAAGCAATTTATGACCTTAAAGCATTTAGTAAACTTAATATCTGACCTGTAAAATTTAGACCAAATGTGTTTATTTTATCAATAATCTTTAAAACTCTGTTTATCTTCTAAAGATTACTTAAGTCACATGTACTAAAAGGCATTACACTTCTTACTTTTCTGACAAAATATTTGATTTAAGCTCTTATTTTTAAACTAATTAAAGATTTTAAACGTATCACACACACACACACAACACATAAATATACATACAGAAGAAGATTCAGTAATTGTAAGACTTTTCATTTGCCAGTTTCTAAGTTTCTCTTTAAGGCATGCAGTTTCTAGGGCTTAACTTGCAGGCACAGCTGGAAGGCAAAACAGATATACAAAATTAACGATCCCATTTTTATGCCAGATCCTGGATCCCAAAAAGAGGGAATCAGCCCATCTCCATGGGAGTCTTATCTCTCAGTGGTGGATGGGGACTTTTTTTTTAACCTTCTAGGTTGCCAACAGCATGGTTCTCTGATCTAAACATGCAAAAAGCCACATATTCCCCAATAACTGCCATTAGCCTTCCCCAAAAGTATATTTCCTACCTAGTTATTACACACCAAAGTTATCTCATAATACTAAGCAATTTCTGACTCCCCAAAAGTAAAAAACATTGGATAATGCAATGCAAAACAGAATAGAACCTTAGATTTTTAAAGGAATCTATCCACTTCCAATTCCTGGGGTTTCATGAAGAAAACGGGTTTTTCCCAAAACCCAGTCTATGGTGCCTCCTCTGTTTTTCCCAAGGAGTCTCATGCTGTTAGAGTTTGAATATCCACTTAAAAATAAGCTAACTTTTAACCATAGCACTCTTTTTAAAAAGTCCTTTTAAATCTCTTATTCCTGAACTTTAGCCAGGCCAAATGGCCAATATTCCTGTCTTCTGAGCTTTACCAAAGGAAACCTCCCAGGTGCTCAAAGAAAGGAAAAATTCAAGAAGTGAAGCCGGAAGTTGTTCATCATGGAGGGGAAGAGAATCTACAAAGGGCAAAGGTCACACAGATATCAAACTGGAAAAGACTCATTCCCTAATCCCGGAATTGAACCTGGGCCACCATTGTAAAACAGTGAAGCCTCTGATGCTGAGCTACAGCATTGGGCAGTTTCCATTGCCCTTCCCAGAAGGAGCCTAGAGCAGCCAATTTTGAGCTTGCAAAGGCTTTTAACTTCTCAAGATAATTTTTAGTGCTAACCATGACATGAATTCCAAAGTTCCTGTTCTCTGGAAGGTGGAGACCAAGAGAAAGTACTGCCACATAGTTAAAAGGTCAAGCTCCCAAGGAAATAAAACAAGATGAGAGGGAAACGTTATCCAGTTTTTTGTTTTTGTTTTTGCTTTTTTTTAGGGACCTGCAGCAAAGTTTTAACTGACCAGTTTGCTGGGCTGGCTTGAACAGCGTGCTTACAGGAGTCCTAAGCCTGTGTTCTATCCTAAGGTACCCTTCTCCATTATAGAACAACACAGAAAGACAAATTTATAGCACAAAGTACAGATTTTCACTACAGCTTAAGACTAACCTCACAATTCCTTTTTCCAATTAATCAAAACTTGATAGAGTTTTGGCTACTTCTGATCTCCTTAGCCACCTACTTACACACCAGTTCAGATAATATTAGTCTGTTGGTCCAGGTACAGAAGAATAAAAATTCATTTAGGACTAATTTTGTTAATTACACTCTCACAGGGCAATTTTATTTCTCTTATATTCTTACTTGATCTCTCATCTTCTCTGTCACCTTCATATGCTACCCATGGTGTTACTTCCCTCCCTTCATTCTCCTCACAGGCCAGACTCTTGGATTTTTAGAGAGCAGATTTGTATTTATAGCTCAAGGTAGGGATACCTATAAGGTTCAGGTCAAGCATTTTTATAGCTACCAACCCCTTGAATAATTTCTGAATACGATTCTATAAAATATTCACAGAGTACAGTCTAAGTCTGACATTTTAAACACAAAGTATGTCTTCAATGAATGCTGACTGTAATGATAACATAGTCATTCACTGAGTTTTCTTTTTTTTTTTTTTTTCCATTTCATCACAAAACCAGATGAGATACACAAGGGATGGAAAAAAACAACTGTGTTCTTTCTCTGCGGAGACTGCAGTTGACAGTGATGCAAAAAAAAACAAACAATTAACCTTTCTGAAAAGCCCGGTTGGTCCTAAACTAATTGCTTCCTCTTCTTTTCAACCTTGGAGCACTCTGGGCCCTGTTGCCTCTAGAGTTTTCAAGATGGAGGGAAGACCTAGAGCAAATCCAAAGAATACACACTGACCTGAGCAGCTTCTTAACAGGGGGTTGGCTCTTGGTCTGTAGGAAGCAGTTCAGTTCTGAGTCATTTCAGCAAAGTTCTGGTTTGGTGTACACTGTATAGAACAAATATATGGGGGTTTGTGGAAGTTGAGGAGGATCTAGACAAGATCCTCTCCTTTCAGATCTCCTGAGATTTGGGGGTCAGCCTGACCTTATGGTTACTGGGAAGCTGCAAAGTAGCCTTTGAGTATGTATCTAGTTATTCCTGGAAGCCTTACTAGAGGCAAGCAAACCAAGTGTAACTTGCAGGTAGACTGTAGTTCATAGCTCTGGGGGGAAGCTAAGTATCATGGGATGATACCCAATCACAAAAATCAGGTAGATTACCCAAGAAGTCATCATTCTTAAGCAGCTTTAGAGAGAGAATCCAGGTCACAAACCCATGAAAGAATGTGCTCAAGAGTTAGGATGAGAGTCAGGGCCTGGTGAACTTTTTATGTTGACAAAGGGGTAGTTTTAAAACATCTATTTTACAATATATGATATGTACCTAGAATAATTCACAAACAACCATGTACATCAGGAGATATAAGCACTCATTTTGGGAGTAAAACATTACCCAATGCATTGAAGCTCCTGTGCTCTCCCCTGTAATTGAATACCTGTGTCCCCCAGAGGTAATCATGATCTTGAATTTCCTTATTTGCCTATATTTATACTATGAATGTATGTGTTTCTAAATTTTATATATATGTATATGTTTGCAAGTTATACACTTCGTGTGTGTGTGTATATATATATATATGCTATCATTTTTTCATGAATTCTTCCATAATGTAATTTTTTTGCTTTTAAGAGACAGGGTCTCACTCTTTTGCCCAGGCTATAGGGCAGTGGCGCAATCTCAAAGCTCACTACAGTCCTGGGCTCAAGTGATCCTCCTGCCTTAGCCTTCCAAGTACCTGGGACTACAGGTGTCTGCCACCATGTCCAGCTAATTTTTAAATATTTTGTAGAGACACAGGTCTCACTATGTTGCCCAGGCTGATCTCAAACTCCTGGCCTCCAGAGATCCTCCCACCTTGGCCTTCCAAAATGTTGGGATTACAGACGTGAGCCACCACACCCAGCCTGTAACTTAATTTTTTTTTTCAGCTGTGTTTGTGAGATCTATTTAGGTTGATGCATGTAGCAGAGGTTCATATTTGTTTCAACAGCAGGGCTTTCTGTGCTGTGGGCCTAGTTTTGGAAAGGAAGGAAGAAAGAAGGAGGGAGCCACTTAAAGGCCCTGACCTGTTATAGGCAGTCCAGATTGTGCACTTAGTGTCCCAAAGTGGTGACCCAATTCACCCATCAGTCAGCTGCAAGAGTGGCGATGTGATGCAGCTGGCGGAGGAAGCTAATTATAATGGAGAAAACTGAATTTGCATAGAGAACCAGGAATCAACTAAATACAAATAACATTTCCTGGTTAAAAAAACACCAAATAAGGATTTAAAAAATGCATGTTTACTGTTTTAAAAAATAGTTTTTTGAGTTAGATACAGCAAAATTTCAAAATTAGGCAGTTTTACAAGTGCTATGGGAAAAATAGCCTAATTAAACTTTTCTCTCCTCTTTTTTTTCTCCACCGTCTTAGTGTTTTCTGCATTCTGTCCCAGCGGATCTGATTCCTGTTCTGAAGAATTGAAGTTCAGCATCGTTAGTTAAATTCAGCTGCTGCCTGACTGTACACCACAGCAAAGGCTTTGGAGACATTTTACAGTTAAAACTATAATGACTTTCTTGGAGTGTAATCCCAGTGGAGGCTGTTCTACATATAGCCTGAAAGAATACTTAACTACCATCAGCAATTCTGCAGAGACCTTGTAAAAAACAAACTTTACACCAAACAACTGAGTGATTCTGAGTTGGTTGGGGGAACCTTAGTTGTAGATATCAATTTACCTCCTTGAAGATTCGACCACTGCTACTCAGAGAGCTGCTTCTGAAATACCATGTCTAAGAACTCAGAGTTCATCAATCTGTCATTTTTATTAGATCATGAGAAGGAAATGATCCTGGGCGTCCTAAAGAGAGATGAATATTTGAAAAAAGTGGAGGACAAGAGAATAAGGTAGTATTCTTTTTATTTTTTCAGTCCTCCTTGACTGCTTTCTGTTTGTTTGAAGCAATTTGGATCAGAAATGGGCCAAGTGCAACCACACTGGGGACAGACATCAGTTAGGAACTTCATGAGTTCTCAGCAGTAGCCCAAATATCAGAAAACTTTGGTGTTTCACCTTTTAGCCAGACATGAAAATGGAATTTAGCTAATAAAATGGTGTTGATGAGAACACTTAATTTGCTAATAAAGTCATAATTTTTAGTTAAAAGGAAGGACTACCCAAGTTTGAGTACCAGCTCTGGCAAGTATTAGTCGTGTGACTTTGAGCAAGCTACTCAACTTCCCTATGCCTTGGTTTCCTCGTCGGTAAAACAAAGATAATAATAGTACCCACTTCATAGGGTTGTTGTAAAGATTAAGAAGTTTGTACATATGTAGTGCCTGTCACCTAAGTGTTCAATAAATGTTAGCTATTATTTATTTGTAATGCCTTTGTCAGATCAGTGTTACTAGGGATTTGCCTCCAGCACAGCTGGGAGAAGAAAGGGACCTGGAGAGTAAAAAGTTCTCATCATACCCCAGAAACCACTGAATTTTTAAAAACAAGTTTCTTGTGAAGAAAGTTGAATAATATGGGCACAGCTGAGTTTCCTATCTACTGTAGGCAGAGCTCATATTTAGCTGGTTTCCTGGGTATGACTTCACCTACTATTTCAGCCAGCATCAATTCTGATTGGTTGCGTCGCCTGCTCTAATTGGTCACATCATTGTTCCGATCATGCGCAAGATCCACTGTGATTGGCTGCTGCCTGTACTGTCTTTGTTTTAAAATATATTTGGTCATTACACGTCGCCCCGAAAAAAAGGAGCAGAAATAGAGTTCCCTCCTCAGTCACTGCCAACTATACAATGTGTAGGTTTTTTGTCTTGTATGGCTCCCCAAGTTGCAATCAGAAGCTTATGTTTATTTTACCTGAGGAGAAAACTTGTCATATGATTATCTTCACATGTTGAAAAAATCTTTAATGTGCCTAAAGCCACTAGGATCTTAAGAAATGGAAATACATCTAAATATTCTTGATTTATGTTTATTTCCCAGGTAAGAGCCCAGAAGCTTCATTTCCATTTTTCCAAGATATTCAACTAATCTTGAAGAAACAAAAGTTTTGATGAAAATTATTGCACTTTTTCTATGCATACAATTCAGGTGGCAACAAAATGTAGTTAATGATTTTAAAGAAATCATGAATAGTATTTCTGACATTAGTAGTCATGAAAAGTAACTAATTTGTGTAATGCACTGCCAAAAAGAATTATGTTGTTTATAGGGGTGACATATTAACTAGGAATTGATGACATTCTAAGGGGAATTAAAAATCATTTCTGGCTGGGAGTGGTGGCTCACACCTGTAATCCCAGCACTTTGGGAGGCCAAGGTGGGCAGATCACGAGGTTGGGAGATCGAGACCATCCTAGCCAACATGCTGAAACCCCGTCTCTGCTAAAAATACAAAAATTAGCAGGGCGTGGTGGCACACACCTGTAGTCCCAGCTACTCGGGAGGCTGAGGCAGGAGAATCACTTTGAACCCAAGAGGTGGAGATTGCAGTGAGCCAAGATCACGCCACTGCACTCCAGCCTGGTGACAGAGTGAGACTCTGTCTCCAAAAAAATATTATTTCTATAGGAATAAACAATTTAATAACCAGATGCCCAGAAACATTGAAGTTCAATTTAATAACCAGATGCCCAGAAACAATAAAGTACAATGAATAGGACTTTGTTCAGAATATTTGTTTCTGTCATTATCAATAACTTGTATTAATAATTTTTGGCCAGGCATGGTGGCTTACATCTGTAATCTCAGCACTTTGTGAGGCTGAGGAGGGTGGACCACCTGAGGTCAGGAGTTTGAGACCAGCCTGGCCAACATGGTGAAACCCCGTCTCTACTAAAAATACAAAAATTAGCTGGGTGCAGTGGTGTGCACCTGTAATCCCAGCTACTCAGGAGGCTGAGGCAGGAGAATCGCTTGAACCCGGGAGGTAGAGGTTGCAGTAAGCCAAGATCGTGCCATGGCACTCCAGCCCGGGTGACAGAGCCAGACTCCATCTCAAAAAATAATAATAATAACTATTATTATTATTATTATACCCTATCTTCCTTTTTCTCATTCCATTTTTCTTCCCTAGTCTTCTTTCCTTATTCCCTATAAGTAAATTCAGTTAAATTGTGTAATATACAACAGAGTATCAAGAATAAAGTCATTGGTTTCCTGGCTCTTCAAACTTTTTTGAGAATAACATAAGAAAGGCTGTTTATAAATCCAAGAGATACTTTTACAGAAAACAGATTTTCTGAAGCTATGTCTTATCTCCTTGTTCGATCTGCATTAACTGCATCAGATGTGTTGTCTCATTTTGTTCTGAGTTCCTGTAATATGACTTAGGCTCCACCGCTCTTAACAGCTTGGTGTATTGAAAAGTCATTCCAAAGTGGGTGGCATGATGTTGAGGGTGTATGCTATTGAATCACACAGCCACAGTTCAAATCTTACTTTCGGCATGAAATATTTGTGTCATTTTAGACAAGATGCTTCCATGGATAAATCTAGTTTCCCCATTTGACAATAGAAATAATATTAATGACCTCATAAGATTGTTCTAAGGATTAAATAAGCTAACATTATAAACAGTTTAGAGCAATGCCAGCATACAGTAAGCACTCAAAAACTGTTGGTTATAATCATTAGCCCTATAGTTGGTTTGTGGTGCCCTTGATTTGCTAGTTGCAGTGGACACTATCAGTGCTCTACTCAGATCCCCTGGAGTCCCTCTCACCTCCTAGTTTTCATGCGCTTTACTTCTAAGGACTTGAAGTTCAAAATTACCTTCAGGTGACTGGAGTTTCCCATAGGATTAAAGAGACACAAGTGCCAGGTAAACTTGAGTGTAAACTGGGTAGCCCAAAGCCAATGGTTGACAGGTACAGAAATCCTTTGCCTCAAGGCAGGACAGACTGTGCGATGCAACTTGAGCTTCCTGTGGGATGATGCTGAGGTTGGACTTCACCTAAAAATCACATCCTTACCTAGCCCCTCTCCCTACCTTCTCCTGCCTCCCTTACTCACTTACAGATTTCTCCTGAGAGCACTCCATAAGCTGCTTGCACACAAATCTACATAGCAGAATTCGCTTCTGGAAAACCTAGTCTGAGACACTATGAAGTTTGTATTACCAAAGCTATTGCTATTTAATAAAGTTCGTTTCAGGGGAAATATAATAAGTCCGCAAGGTGAGCATTAAAGTAAAGGATTTTGGTTCATTTGATTTAGAAGCTATGATCTTCCCAACAATTTTTATCACAGTCGTTGTGATTTACATACTGGTAAAGAAAAAAATCCAAGCTAAAGAAAGAAACCCAAGATTAAGCATCTTGGTCAGATAGTATAACTTTCTGTTGGCTTTTCTCCTTTTATCTCCTCTGCATAGCCCTCCTTTTATTATGAATTTAAGTACAACCTAAATCAGTTCAGGGTACCTTAACTCTAGCCCAGTAGGTCTGCATGGCAATTAAATTCTGCAAGCATTTTTTAATAGATAGATGATAGAGAGAGAGAGAGAGAGAGAGAGAGAGAGAGAGAGAGAGAGACAGACAGACAGTTAAAATTATTTATTATAAGGAACTGGCTCATATGAGTATGGAGGCTGAGAAGTTCAGACCTAGGAGAGCTGATGGTATAATGTGAGTCTGAGTCCAAAGGCCTGAGAACTGGGAGAGGTGATGCAATAAGTTCCAATCCATGTCTGGCAGTCAGTAGCAAGGGAAAACTGATGTCCCAACCTGAAGGCAGAGAGAGAAAATTCATTCTTACTCAGTTCAGCTTTTTACTCTATTCAGACCTTCAGCAGATTAGACGAGACCCATCCGTATTGGGGACGGCAACCTGCTTTACTCAGTCTACTGATTCAAATATTAATCTCATACAGAAACACCCTCACAGAAACATCCAGAAATAATGTTTAACAAAATATCTGGGCTCCTAGTCATCCAGTTAAGTTGACACACATACTTAACTGTCTCAGGAATTTATATAAAGCTGGCTATAGCCCCCGTTCCCACACTTTTGTGAATTGTATAGCTCATCCTGGCTCTGTATCCCTGCTTCTGTTGAACTCTCCTCTCTCCTTGAATCTCACCTCTTATGGCCATTCCTTACTCTTTTCTTTGCCAGGCCAGAGAGAACTTAGTCCTTTTTCCTTGATATCCTCCAAAACCATCAACACAAGAAATTTAGGTGGGTAACAGATTTTATTACAACAGTAAGCTTTGGTGCTAGCTATTACAATAGTTTTCATCGTGCTATCGAGGTACAAATTGATATTTTGGGGGGAGTCTAAAGGAAGAAGTAATTAATTATGAGTAAGGTAGAAATTGAAGCAATGGTTTCACAGAAAAGGTGAACATTTGTGCTTGCCTTTGAAATGTGAAAAGGACTTTTCACATTGGCAAATATAGGTCAACTATGTTTGACTGTTTACCATGAGCCCCAAAGCCACCTTCAGACTGCACTAATCAGTTTCAGAAGGAAATGGAAACCAAATATTTTTTTAGACTGAAAAAGATTACAAAGAATAAACTTATCTGAAAAGTTAATAAAGTGGAGTTTGGGAGGCAGTGGATTTATTGTTTGTTTGCCTGTTTATTTGTTTGAATAGGTAGGTTGTCCTTTGAGATAAAAAAGTAGAAGAGGGAAAAAGTGTAAAAACTGTACTGAATCAATATTTTAGGCCTGACACCCAAATGTGTTTCACAGTCCACATACTCACTAAAGTGTGACATTGATTAAGGTGGGACTGGTCTTTGGGGACTCGTAGAGGTGCTCCATACCCAGAAGGCACATGGCAAGCCTGATAATTACCTCCAGGCATAAATCATCAGCTGGGGAATAGGCATCTGCCGACTACCATTGCATTTTAAGTTCATTCAAGAGGCTCAAATATATTTAT